AGCCAGACATTGAGCAGGCTTAATCGCGGACACGCCTGCACAGACCTGATTCCAGGATGGCAGGACCTCTTGGTGGACGTGTTGGTTGGTGTCAGTTATGGGTTGTTTTTAGGGTTTAGGGTCATTTTTTTTGCATATTCCTTATAGTCTTTAGGGTTTCGGGTACTCATGAGCCCATTCAAAGACCCAACAGCATAGCTTTCAAAGAAAGTCAAAATCGAGTCGAACCATACTGTGGGCAGGATACACCTGCAAGGAACCGAACCGTGGCGCCCTTGAAAATGCAAAAGCAGGATAGGAGGCGAGGCGCTCTGGGCAACTCGGACATGCCTACACGCCCAACGACACTGAAAGACTCTGTACCCGAAACCCTGAACCCTAAAACTCAACATCTCCAACACGGCGGCAGAAGCTCCCTGCCTCAAGCCCTGAAACTTGACACACTTGGGCGGCCCTACTTCAAAATCCAAAATCACGACCTGCAGGCCAGTCTCCACCTCCTCCTGCTATGGCTGACACCACCGAACATTGACCGAAAACGCTAAACCGCGAAAATTGACCGAAAACGCTAGACCGTGAAAGCTATCAACCCACCGCCGAGTCCGTGAACGAATCGCATCCTTCCTGTCGTTTTTTTGCACGTGTGCGCAATCCGCAGTCGACAGCGCACGTGTGCCCTTGAGGCACGGTGCGTTTTCAGGGCGAAAGCTCACAGCAGCATTTTGCTCATGAGTAAGAAGGAATTGAGCAGAAGTCGGGATTCTGCAGAAAGTGTCACTTGCAGAATGAAGGTGCATATTCTTTACCCTTGTGGCCTCTTGAGGTTTAAGGGATCAAGGTTGCGGTTTCAATTCTCGGGTCTAGGTCTGAAGGCGTGCAAATTTTTGTCCCCAGCAACGAAACTACCCAAACTCCACACAGGCATAGGGTCTAGGGTTTAGGGTTTAGGGGCGTGGTGCCATTTGCAAAGATCCCTCGACAGCTAACAGGGTTATGCGAGCTTTGGGTGGTGGGGTTTAGGGCTTAGGCGCCCCCCCCCCCCTCGCACCACTACGCCCGAGCTGCGGTTTAGGGTTTAAGGTTTAGGGTTTAGGGTCCCCAAACCCTAAACCCTAAACGAGCCATCTTGGAGGACAAACATGGGGATGGCTGCAATGAGTATAGCAACAGGGGGTGGTGTTCGGCGACAGGGGCGCCACTTGGCGGGTCCTTGAGGGTTTAGGGTTCAGGGCTCCAAAACCTACTGTACAGCCCGAAGCCCGCAGGCATTACACTTCGACCTGAACGGCTATAGATGTCGGTTGAGAGTTGAGGTTTCAGGGTATAGGGCTTCCGAAAATAGCTCCGAAAACCCTACCCTCTAAGCCATGCACCGCATGGGTTGTTCCAAATTATGGGCCCGTTTTGGTACAACCCCCCTAAACCAAAAACCCGAAACCCTAAACCCTAAACCCCCCCCAAGCCATAAACCACATGTCCTGCCCAGGTATGACCTTGGATGGAACCCCGAGTTTCAAATCTTCTTCTCGGACCAGCTTGCGCCGGACCGCCCGTTGGGGTTTAGGGACTAGTGCCTATAGGGTTTAGGGTTTATGGGGAGTTTGGTTTAGGAGAGAAGCCCGACACTAAGCCTTAGACCCCAAGCCCCGAACCCTACACCCTACTACACCCTACACTGCCCTACACCCCACACCCCACACCCCAAACCCGAGCTAAACCCCAAACCCTAAACCTTAAACCCTAAACCCAAAGCAAGGCCGTTTGGGTCTCTGCTTCAGGGCTCGAAACCCTAAACCACAGTTTAGGGGGGTTTAGGGTTTAGGGTTTTTTGGTATTCTAGAGTGCAGGTCCCGAGTTGCAAGGTCTTCTCTCCAGTTCCGGACGTCGCACCCTAAACCCAGACCCTACACCCCAAACCCTCAGCCCGGAGCTGCCCTCAACCCTAAGCCCCTAAGCTCCACAACGAAACACCACGAACAGGACGACATCCCTAGTCGCTGTAGTCTCTTTTGTTTCGGTGGACATTGCTTCTGCAAAGCGTCTCGCCCGAAACCCTAGACTCCTTTGTCGCTTCCTCGTGCGGACTTTGGGAGCTGGCCGCCCTGTACAGTTCCTCAAACTCAACACCCCTCAACCCCAAGACCCCAAACCCCTGGAACCGCAACCCCAGACCTCAAACCCCAAACCCTGAACGCTAAACCCTAGGAACCCAGGCGTTCCCGCTTCTTCATTCCCTACTAAGAGCCAGTAGGGCTGCTTTTTATGTTTAGCGCTGGACTGACGGCCTGAGAGCACCCCTTATAGTCATCCCAAAATACCATGTTTCTGAATAAAGGGCCCCAGCTCACTTCAACCCTAAACCCCACCCCCCCACCCAAACCCTAAGCCCTTGATAAGCCCTGAGCCCTAAACCTAAACCCCAAACCTCCAGACCCCAAGCGCCCAAGACACGTGTCCAGGGAGAAACCCTGACCGCCGCGGATGTTTGCTGTCGATGTTCGGCTGCAAGACCCCGCGCCGCGGTGCACTCCCCCACATTCCTGCAGTTTTGGGGTTTAGTGTTTTGGGCTTATTGGGGTTTGGTTTTTGGATGTAGCTGATAGGGGCATGGGGCCACGGGGCCATGGGAAGGGTGCATGGAGGGGGAGGGTGTGTGGGTGGTGGCAGCCATGTGAGACATTGGGGCCATGAGCTGGAGCCCTAAAAGAATGCCAAAACATCCATGAGGTGTGGGTGGTGGCAGCCATGTGGGATCCTGGGGCCATGAGCTGGAGCCGGGGTCGAGGGCATGGAGGCATGGGGGCCATGCGATGGAACGGGCGGAGCGGGCGGAGTGGCGGAGAGAGCGGCAAGACTATGGGTCTTCACTAGCGCCTCCCCCGCTCAAAGCTGGGGTCGGCGGATATATATATGTGTGTGTGTGTGTGTGTTTTTCTCGGGGGCTTCTTAAGCAAACAGTCGTTATAAGAATTCTATTGGGCTTTCAACGGGTTTCAAAGGGATGATCGGCAGGGTCTAGGCCTTCTTAAACCCTACGGATAAAGCCTACGTAGCCCTACAAGCCCTAGAAGCCCTGTAAGCCTAAGCCCCTGAGGTCGTGTTCCCATGCGGGCTTCCAGGTTTCGGGATTTAGGGAATATGGGGGGGTTTTGGGTTTAGGGCTTAGGGTTTAAAGGGTTTGCGGTTTTGGGGATTTTGGGTTTCGGGCATCGGGTTAGGGTTGGGACCTTAAACCATAAACCCTAAACCCCAAACCTAAACCTGGTATCTGGTTAATTTTTCTGGGATCTCCCTTGAGATCTTGTAAAGAAGGTCGGCTGCATTGCTTTCAGGGGCCTGAACCCTCAACACTAAAGCTTTAAACCCTAAAATCCTAAACCCTAAACCCTAAAAACCTTTAAACCCTAAACCCGAACCTGCCCTAAACCCGAAACCCTAAAGCCTAAACCCAGGATTCCTGTGTTCAGAATTGAGGGTTCTTCGCCCTACACCGTCCGTGTCCGTCCTTCGAAAACCTTCGATCGCCAACCCTAAAGCCTATAATCCCTAAACCCTGCACCGCCTAAACTCCAAACCTTTACCCTAAACCCGAAACCCTAGACCCTAGCCCTAAACCCGAAACCCCAAACCCAAACCCCAAACCCCAAACCCAAACAAACCCTCAGAACGCCGCACTAGGCCCTACACCCTAAACCTTAAACCCTGAGCCCTAAGCCCTACCTCAGGATGTGGTGCTGGTCTCTGCAAGGATAAGAAGCAATGGCTCGACTCCCGCGGCTCCTGGTGCGGCACTTCGGGATTTGGGGCTTCAGGGCTGTTTTTGTCCCTTTTTTTCTTGGGGGGGGTGGGGGGGGCGGAGGGGCTTTAGCGGCTCTTTTGTAAGGGTTTCCGGGTTTCAGTTTTTCTTTTTTGAGGGTTTGGAGGTTTTGTTAAGGGTCTCTGGGTTTCAGTTTATTCGTTGTGGGCTTGGGGTTCAGTTTTGTTCACAAAGGTTTTTTTCTTGGTTGTTGTTTTTTCGTTTTGGGCTTGTCAGGATTTGGGGGGTTTTGATGGTTTAGGGGCTTCGGGCGTTTGGGGTTTAGGGTTCAGGGGTTTGGGGATTTGGCATTTAGGGTTTTTGGTTTGGAGTTTCACGGCTACTTTTGCTAGGGACTGCTAGGGGCCCTGTTTAGGGACCTTTCACAGGGCGAAGCATGGCGAAGGAATATTCCTTTCTGCTTCGGGTACCACCAAGGGCCCATAACTTAGATCAACCCCCAGCTACCCTAAACCCTAAACCCCAAACCACACAACCAGGATGGTCCTGCGACCAGTACTACCAAGAGGGCTGGTGCCCTTCTGGCATCCCACACGGGGAGCGTTTCGAGGCGCCAGAAAGGTTTTCTTGAGGGTTCTTTAGGGTTTAGGGTTTCTCACCTACAGGGATAAAGCAGCCCCTCCAAAAGATTGGTCACAGTTCCTTTTGGACCCTCTCATCATGCAACAGTTTTATGACAAACTTCATCATCTAGACCAGAAGGCCTCTCTTTCCCTGGCCCCCAAAACTCTCCCCCGGGTAGACCCTACCAGGCCCTACTATTTTTCAACGACTTCACCACACCTTCACCAGGCAGCCCTGGCTCAATTCCATCAACAGTTGTCGTTCTAAACTGCACACCAGACCACTACCGCCTTGTCACCGAAATCACGGTAACCCCCTTTCTGACCACAACGCCATGACAGCTAGAACAGATATCCGTCGCACAGTCTACTCGAATATCGGGGAAATGCACGAGCCACACGGCAGCTGGCTGGGGGTTCTGCTACAAGGGAGGCGACGCGTGGAAAAACGCCTGGGGCCGAGTGACCACAACGCCACACCCGCACTTTCGAGGCGCACAGGTAGGGTTCCAACAATACAGGCGAGCTCACCGCCATTGTGGAGGCTCTGTTGTTCGTCCACGCTCAGGAGTGGCACACGTTGCACGTCAGGTCCGACAGCCTGTCAGCTATTCATGTCATCATATGTCATCCAGGGTAAGTGGAAAGCTAAGCACCACAAGCCGCTTGTCAACCTCGCCAAGCAATTCACGCGTCACGGGCCTCTCAAAGTCACGTACACGTGGGTCAAAGCCCACGCAGGCACCGAGGGCAACGAACGCGCCAACCACAACGCGAACGAAGGTCGCCTCGCCATTACGCGTAAAGGCACCTCCGCGCCGACGTTTGAGCCAGAACCGGCTTTCTTTCAGCTTTCCGGCGAGACGGCATTCAGCGCGGCTATGCAGGAGGCGGCCTTGCAAACTTTCCCGAAGCAGGAAGTCCGCAGTCGACGTCTCTGGATTTCCGAGGAAACGCTCCACGCGTTGGAACACACTCGACAGCTTGAGGCGGCTCAGGACCACAACGCGAAGCAAGCGCGCAACCAGGCCAAGCGTATTGCTCGAAGGGATCGCGTAAATTGGATACACAGGCAACTCCAAGAGGACACCTCCAGCGGGGCAGTGGCATGCAGGTTTTCAGGGTAAGAAGAGGCATTTGGAGGTGGAGAACCAGCCGGTGCCTTGGTCCCAAACCCACGCCGCCTTCAAAACACACTTAGAGCAGAAACAATGGTCCAAGCGGCACACTAGCACGGCAGATGCCCTTGTGATTCTACAACGCAAGCGTTCTCTTCGACCACAATGCCCAGACCGCAACGCCTTTACTCTTGAAGAACTCCAGCTAGCGTTGAGTAAACTCCGAAACAAGAAAGCCCCGGCCCCGATGCCACCCCCAACGAGCTTTTCCGCTTGTTGGATGATGCTAACATTGACAGGTTACTAGCATTTTCCACTAACATCTGGGAAAAAGGCGAGGTGCCGAAAGGCTGGAAGGAGGCTATCGTCGTTTCATTATACAAGGGAAAAGGCCTGGATACCAGCCCCGAGAATTCTCGCCCTATCTCCCTTCTTACTTCTATATACAAAGTTTTTGCGTCTCTTCTCCAGATCCGTCTCAGCAAGCTTCATGAGCAAGATCTTCGAAAAGCACAGTACGGCTTCCGGGCGGGCAAAAGCACTACTCACCCCTTGTTTGTTTTGAGACGGGCTATGGAATCGGCTGAAATGACGAACAATCCCATGAATTTGCTGTTTTTAGATTGGAAGCAAACGCTTGATTCCATTGACCACAACGCCATGCTCATCGCGCTTAAGCGCTTCGGGGTTTCACCCCCCATATACTAAGACCCCACCTTCTATACCGTATCTGAGCAAGGTGACAAGTCCAATGGTAGTGTGGGTTCAGGGGTCAGACAGGGATGTCCATTAAGCCCATACCCCATACCTCTTCATAATGGTTCTTACAGTGATTTTCGAAGATCTCGACTGGCATTTACTTCAACAGGGAGTTGCTACCAATACTTGGTCGGTCGGCAGGCCAGTGTATGACCGGCTCTTTTTCACATTGAGTTTTTGCGGGCTTCCGGTTGCCAGGTGTTTGGATTTATCCAGAGACTCCACAAACCCTTAGTGAAGGAATGTTCCCTAAAGGGCGGAGGTTTTGGGCTTAGGGTCTTTTCGTTTTTGGGCTATTGGGATTTCGGCTTTAGAGATTAGGGATATTCAGCATCCTTCGCATAATTTAGGGAACATCGTCGCTGTTTACAGTATCGTGGGTTCTGCGTGCTGGACGCGTTGAGGGAGGGCTTTGCATGCTCAATCATGCTCATGAAGCTCCTATGTGACCCTCCTAGCCGCCCTAGCCCTAAACCTTCAACCCTCAACCCTCAACCCTAAGCCATCGGCTAGGGCTTAGAAAGGATTTGGATAAGGGTTTAGGGGGGGGGTTATGGGTTGTGGGTTTGGGTTGAGGGTTGGGGGAGCGGTTCAAGGCTTTCAAACTCTAAACCGCTAAACAACTCTCTTGGCGTTTACGAACTCTCGAAGGACTATGCCGTGGACAACGTCTCCGCGGCCGACGCCTGCGGCATGGCATTTCTGATTGGGGTGTGCCCTGAGACCCCCCCAAAACCCTTAATTCAGGAATATTCCCTACGCAAAACTAAGGATCCTGAGTATACTTTAGGGAAAAACCCTAAACCTTAAACCCCTAAACCCCTAAATCCTAAACCCTCAACGGTGTAGGTTTACGGTTGTTGGGTAGGGGTGCGGCCCTGGAGGATTCAAGGGTTTAGTGGCTCCGGGCCAAACCCTAAACCTTGTTAAGGTTCGAGGGTTGTTGCGCTTGGGACCTCGAAGAGGCCCGAAGGTTGTCAAGGGGAAGGAGACTTAGGGTTTAGGGATGGGTTTGGGGTTTAGGTTCTAGGGTTTAGGGTTCCCCGAACCCTACACCGTACACCCTAAAACCTAAGCCCTCGCTGAGGCTGCCATTGTGGTGGTGGCTGTCAGAGCTCCACTACCTGGGTTGACTCGGGGGGAAACAACTGCAGTTCCTACTATCGCCAGCCACGGGGCACTCAATAGCGTTTTCACGTTGGGGTTTGATGATCGCCTCCGGGTCCCTAAGCCCTAAACCCTAGACCCCTATCCCTAAACCCTCAACCCTAAAACCAAAACCCTAAACCCTAAACCTTAAACCCTAAACCCTAAACCCTAGACCCTAGACCCTAGACCCTAGACCCTAGACCTTAAACCCAAACCCTAAACCCTAACCCCCAAGTCGAAGAAGGGCACAGTCCTCCCAAAACCCTGGACTTCCCAATCCGAAACCCCCTAAAGATCCGACCACCATACCCAGAGGACCCAGCACCGCTGTGGTTCGGGGTTTAGGGTTTAGGGTTTAGCGTTTGTTTTGTCTTGCTTAAGGAATATACCCTGAACTGTATTCAGACCCTCATCACGACTCAAGGAATATTCTTTTCAGGTACCCCTACCCTACGGTCTGAACCCTAAACCCTAAACCCTACACCCTGGGGCTTAAGTCTTCATGAGACGCCCTTTCAGTTGAGGCAATGGTGTGCGTGGTCGGGGGGCGTCGGGCCTGGATGGAACAGCAGCTGCCTGTCCATGCAGGTAGTCTTTATCGGACATGAAAGCCTACACCCTAAACCCTAAGCCCTAAACCCTTGTTTGGGAAAATGCGCATCTGCTAGGCTTCGGGCCACCTTCCATCCGAATTTCCAGTGCTTGGAGGTTCAAGGTACTTCTAACCCTATTTATTACTGTACTTATAAGCCCCCCAATATAAGTAGACTGATAATTGGGAGGATAACCTTGACCCTAAACCCTAAACTCCAAACCCGAAACCCTAAACCCTAATTGGGGTTTGAAGTGCCCGTGAACCTCGAAGTGTTGCCGTCAGACAGGCTCCTCAAGATTTCGATCGTGTGCAGGCCCCAAGCCTTACATGGGGTTTAGGTTTTAGGGTTTAGGGATGAGGGTGTAGGGATTAGGGTTTAGGGCTTAGGGCTGAGGGATTCCGGCCCCCTTTTTTGGGGATTTTTCGCAAAAGCAGCAGTGCATTCCCCATTCTGGGTATCCCCAAGAAGGGCCCACCGAAGCCCTAATTCCCCAAGACCTTCTGATGGCTTAAGTCACAAACCCTAAACCCTAAACCCGAAGCAGTAGACCCTAAACCCTAAACCCTACCCCCCCCCCCCCCCCCCCCTATGCCTGAGATCCGTGACGAAGCCCGAAAAGCCCTAAACCCGACTTCTAGCCGGCGGACGGGGCTGCTTGACTACCTGGTGCTTACAAGGAATGGGTTTAGGGTTTAGGGTTTGGATACCTATAGTAGTTCATATACTTTCCCTTATAAGAACCCATATGTTCACTCCCTTATTCCTACTAAGCACCAGGGAGCTCAGGCTGGGGAACCATCGATGACTACGCTGCTGATGGGATGAGTGCCTGGGACGCCTGTTGCGAATGCTCTCGATGCAAGGATGACCATTTGTTCTTCGCGCAGGCGACTGGCCCCTAAAGCCTAAGCCCTGGGCTTCGCGGTTTGAGGGTCCATTCAGTGCAAGCCAGAGAGGCTGGCAGTCCCGAATCATGATGGAGACCCCTCCCCCGTCTCCGGAACTGTTGCGAAGTAGAACGAGTAGCTTCTACCCCAAACCCTATACCATGGGGTCCAACCCTGAACCCTAAACCCCTCCATGCCCTGCGAAGCACTAAGGGTTTGGGGGTTTGGGGTTTTTGGGCTTTGGGGGAGAGGGTGTTCGGGTGTAGGGAGCAAAAAAGGGTCTAGGGATTTGGGGTTTGGGGTTTAGGGTTTGGTCTTAGGGTGGAGGGGTCGGGCCAGTTTTGGGTTTGGGGTTTAGGGTTTCCGGGTTTGGGTAGGTCTGACCAGTAGTTTCAGCGGCGGATGGGCTCGGGTGGTCCTGGTCGGGTTGCTTGGTTTGGTGATGTTGCCTAAGCCCCAAACCCAAAACCCTAAAACCCTGGACACATCCCCACCCGTTGTTGTGTTTGTGTGCTAGCCTATTGATGTTGTGGGGAGATGGTGATGGGGGTGCCTCGGGGCCCTTTTTGCTGAAGACACATACGAGAGATCACGATTGTTCCCTGCGGAGTGATCCCAGAGGGGGTCTGCTAGGCGGGTGGCAAAAAAAACCCGAACACCCTACAACACCCTAAAACCCTACACCCTAGAAGGGTGAGCTTGGCTCAGGATCGATTCGAGTTTTGGGTTTAGGGTTTACCCTAAACTCTAAACCCTAAACCCTAACCCTACAGCTTAAGATGCACAACTAGGACCCAGAGTAGGCCCTTATTCCCTTGTTTAGGGGTCCAGATTCCCTTCTAAACCCCTTGAAATTAAAAGGGTACCCTTTATTCCTAGGTTTCTCTCAAACAATAACGTAGCAACTCAGACAAATCAGAACAGGACTTGGTTTAGCGTTTAGGGTTTAGGGTTTAGGGTTTCTCCAAGCTTCAACATATACTCTTTACCTTGGGTTATGGGCATAGTATACTCCCTATGTCTAGGGTACCCAAAAAGGTCCCAAAGTTTAGAGCATCAAATTCTTATGGGTACTTTGACGGTCCCGGTAAGGCCCTGGAGCTATTCGTGGTTCTTTCTTGGTTGGACAATGATAAGGACATAGGGGCTGCTGTTGTACTTTGGGGGCTGCGTCGTTATATTATGTGACCTTTTTTTGGGTACACTGAACGTAGGGAGCATACGATCATAGAACCTAAAGGGGAGCCACGGACCTCCAACAACTAGACTGCCTAAACCCCAAGTTCAGCTCTAAGCCCAAAACCCTAAACCCCTAAACCCCTAAACACCCTGAAACCCTAAGACCCTAAAACCCTAAGCCCTAAAATCTAAACCCAAAGTCCCATGAGTCGGGAGGATCAAGTTAACAGCTTTGCGGCCCAGAACTGCACGGTGGTGCGGAGGATTCGGTTCATGCTGTTCCTTGCCTATTTCGAACCCTGTTGGGGTTTAGGGTTTAGGGTTTAGGGTTCCCATGGACCTGGGCGTGCTGCTGGTTGACAGAGGGGCCAAGACTCGGACTTTCACAGCTGTGGTTTAGGGTTTAGGGTTCCCACGTTTTGAGCTGGAAGGGGGTTCTGGGTTTGGAACGCTGAACCCTGAACCCCAAACCCTAAACCCTTATTGTCCTTGCACTGCCGCCCATCGTCCGCCCGTTGCGTCTGAAATCAGGCCAGCACAGCTCCCCGTTTTCGAGCCGACAGGGGGGGTTCCGGCAACTGAAACCCTAAACCCTAAACCCTAAAAAAAACCCTAAACCCCAAACGCCCACAAGCCCAAATCATCCCCCACTTGATAAAGGCTTGGTGGCCTTACGCTTATTCAGGCGCGGTTGCTGCCATGGACCCTTAACCCTGAAGCCTAAACCCTAAACCTGAAACCCTAAACCCTAACCCCTAAACTAGAAAAACAACCGAGGTTCATATGGGACTTCAGCGTGCTCTCAAATCTGCGGAGCCTTCATATGCTGGAGGTGCCAGATTTTACTACAGGTGTTGGATTCTCAGTATTAGATGTTTTCCTTGTCTTGATATGCAAGTAATAACGGGCGTGTCGTGCCATT